TTTTTTTTTTTTTTTTTTTTTTTGAGACAGTTGCTCTGTCACCCAGACTGGAGTGCAGTGGTGCGATCTCAGCTCACTGCAACCTCCGCCTCCTGGGTTCAAGCAATTCAATTCTTCTGCCTCAGCCTCCCTAGTAGCTGGAATTACAGGTACCTGCCACCATGCCCGGCTCATTTTTGTATTTTTAGTAGAGACAGAGTTTAACCACGTTGGCCAGGCTGGTCTCGAACTCCTGACCTCAGGTGATCCACCCGCCTCAGTCTCCCAAAGTGCTGGGATTATAGGTGTGACCCACTGCACCTGGCCCATGCATGCACTTTAACACTCCGCCTCCCATACCCTCATCGTCTCCAAGCCCTGCTCAGCACCCAGATGAAGCCTGTCCTCCTGGAATTCATAGCCCAGGCAGGCAGCTGTGCACATGAACTACAGTCAGTCAGGGCAGGACATGATAGGCATCTCAGATGGGTGTCCCCAGAAGAGAGATAAGGTGCTGCAAGAGGGGAAGGGAGGAGCCAGCACCTTCCACAGCCCTGGTCAGGTGCCAGAGAGGCAAGGACAGGCCAGGGGGCAGGAACCGCCCTGCAGGGAAGGCCCCACCCAGGGCAGTACCTGCTTGGCCCCGGTCACAGAGTAGGCGTGGCCCTTCACCAGCTTCTTGAAGGTGATGGCCTCCATGTCTAGAACGCTGGAGATCTGCACAAAGAGGCACACACTGTGGGCAGTGGCTAGGTCCCCCCACTGTATCAGATGAGCCCCCAGCATTCAGGGTCTTGGATGTTCCCACTTGTACATACAATAGTTCTAGGAGCAGCAAGCAGGGACCCCGATCCCACCTAGTTTGTCACCCCCACCTATAGACACCCCCACATACAGATGCTGCTCTTTTGGCGAGGAGTAGCCTGGATACCCCACCAAAGCTGCCACTGGGACGGGGGAGCCCAGGCACCCCGCCGACACTGCTACTGGCCAGGGCTGACCAGAACCTGTGCGAACATGCCTGTGCACACACACAGCCGTGCACAGCCCACCAGAGCCACACGGCCCTCAGTGGGCCTCACGGAGAAAGATGTGAGGACAGGAGGGTCGGTTAGAAATGGGAATGGGAGCTGGGGTTAGAGCTGCAGATGGCAGTGATATTGGGGTCAAGTCTGGTGTCCAGGACCGGGGAACGGAGCTGAGTGTGGGAACAGAGGAGCAGGGAAGGGTGGGAATGGAGTGAGTGTGGGATTGAGGCCAGGGATGGGTGGGAACTGAGACCAGGAGATGAAATCTGAGGCTGGTGAACTGGACAGAGGATGGCACGGATTGAGATGACAGGAATGAGGGAAACAGCATGGTAGATGGTCGGGAAAACAAGCGCAGGAAAGAGCTGAGGTATGAAGTTTTGGGGAAGGAATGGGGAGGTGAGGACAGGAATGACACCAGGCATGGGGGTGGAAGTGATGGATGAGGCTGGGTATGCATCCAGAGATGGAGCTTAGGTGCAGGACAGGGGTCTGGATCAGAGCCTGGGTGAGGACTTTTGGAAAATGTGACAGGTCACAATACCAGGGTTCCAGGGTACCCCAAAGCATAGGGGCCGGGTGCACTCACGTCTATGGAGCAGCCCAGCAGGGAGCCCCGCTCCAGCGCCTTGAGGATGATCTGGTAGAGGTCACTCGGAGCCTTTCGCAACTCGTACCACTCGGTGACCCCACCTGTGAAGTCCTCAAAGCCCTCCGAGGTGCTGCCCCCTGACAGGGACTCGTAGCTGCCATTTACCCTGTGGGCAGCTCCAGGTCAGTGCTCTGACATCAAGCAGGACCCTCTGCAAAGACAGTCAGGAGCCCCCACCCCTAGAGGGGGCTGGAAGCTGGAGCTGTCCCCTCGGCCGCTACTCACTTGGCATAAGCCTTCTCAAGCAGGGCGCTCCAGAACTCATTGCCTTCGGCAGAGTGCACGAACACTAGCTTCCCGTCCTTGATGGGCAGCAGGTCATCCACGACCACGTCCACCCATTCCCCAAATTGCCACAGCTGTAGGGGAGGGGCACGGTGAGTACCTGCTTTGGAATCCCCCAGACCTGAGCTCCACCCTTACCTCTACCTTCCTAGATGCAGGATTCTAGATCCTAGATACATTCTAGGATCTAGATATGTATCTAGATACATAACTTCCTAGATGCGGGATTCTAGATCCCAGATACATAATAGATATATGTAGACTAAATCATATATATTAGATACATACTAGATGTATACTACATCAGGTGTACCAGATACATACTAGATGTGTGTATACTTGATCACATATACTAGCTACATGCTAGATGCATGTATACCTCTAGATACATGTATGCTACATATACACTAGATACATGTATCTGGGTATTGAAGGAAATCAAAGCATTTCACCCCAAAATATACTTCTTCAACATATTTTGAGATAGCTGTTCAGAGGGTCTGCAAACGGAAGTAGCCCTGTAATACTGTCTTTTGTGGGGGAGATTTGCATCCGTAGAGAAAATCTGCATTGACGGTGCCAGGCTTTCTCTAAGGCCTTCCCTTGTCAGACTGAGAGCCTGACACCCTTTAAAGGTCTGAAAGAAATAATTACCATCCATTCTGTCTGAGGGCTGCTACCTGTGAGGTTTCATCTACATAACAAGACCGCCTTTGCTACCCAGCCCCCCTTTCTCCCCTTCCATAGCCTGTCTTGCCACTATAACCCGATTTACCACCAGAACCTGGTTTTGGCCATTTTCAAGCCCCCATTCTTCCCGTAACCTCGGGATGGTATGTATATACGCTTCTGTACCCACTGTGGGGCTGGGGTGATCACTCTGTGGTTCCCGACCCCACGCTGCAGGCTAATCAATTTGTCTGCCATTTCTCCTACTAACCTCCTTTTGTGAGTTGATTTTTCAGTGAACCCTCAGAGGGCTAAGGGGATGCTTTCCTTTGCCTGTACAGTATATACTAGATATATGCATATTTGATGTATACTAATACATGCATACCACATATAGACGTGTATATTTGATATGTACATGTATGCTGGAGATACACTAGCTACATGATCCTGGGAAAATTATCGCCTCTGAGCCTCAGTTTCCCTATCAATAAAAAGGAGCAGCAGTGCCTTCTTCACGGAAGATTTAAACAAGAGCACACAGGCACAAAGCCTTTAGTGAGTCACTGAACAAACAGGGTTCCTCCTCAGGCACAGAGAGGTGGGAAAGCTCTCGGGCCTGGGCTTTCCAGAACTAGCCCCCTTTTAGGCCATGGCCCCCTAGCTCTTCCCTCCCTATTCTAGGGGGTTAGGGGACACCTATGTCATTGGATGAGCAGTGAAAATGTGGCATCCAGATCCTACAACCATAAGATAGGCAGATGCTTTGCTTCAGAGATGCCACAAGGGGCAGGTTTCCCAGGGCAGGATCGTGGCCCAAGGCGTCTGGGGTCAGAAATGACCAAGGACTCCAGGTATCATCTGAGGGGTGGCGGCCAGGACAACGTGGGGAGGGTGGCGGGGAGGAAAGGAGGCGGCCCTACGAGCCCAGGTTGTGGAGAGTGTGGGTGGCGGGTACTGAACTGGCCAATCGAAGGCCAGGAAGGAGTGGATTGGAGGAGCGAGGGAAGGGGGCGAGGCTGCGCCCCTGCAGACTAGAGCGGGTGGGTGTGGCGCTGAGCCAAAGTGGATCCGCACCGTGGGTTCCGCGCCCTGGTTCCGAGGACCACCTCCACCCGCGCAAGGCGGGCAAGGACAGAATAGCGTAAGGGGCTCTCTAACCAGGCAGAAGGAGGGAACACACAGGAGTCCTTCGGGCAGGGCTGGGGCCTCCAAGGCCGGAGGGCTTCATTCCTGGTTGCTGGGCATGTCCCTCCCAAAGGCAGATCATTGAGAATTGATTGGTGTGACTTGAAAAATGGACCCTGGGCACACCGTCAGGAAAAGCTCGTTTACATAGACTTAATCCCGAGTCTTTCTTTTCTGCTGGGCTCAGTCAGACCTTGCCAAAGCGCAGGAGTTGGGGGATAGGAGGCCTGACAGGTGGAGAAGGCCACGCAGGCTAATCTGTTTTCCCCAGCGACCACTCCTTTCTCAGATGGGGCAACTGAGACCGACCTCCAGGAGGATCGGAATTTGTCCCACAGGATATAACATAAACGTCTTTCTCTTCTTTCAAGCACTTTCCACCTGATACATACAACCACCTAGGAAAACTGCCAGCTGAAATACCTGCCCAGCCCAGTCACTTCACACATGACAGACCCGAGATGGCACTGAGAGGTCAAATACCTGCTACAGGGAGGACTGGCCCCACAGGGTGTGGCCCTAACTGCAGGTGCTGTGGGTCATCCTTCCGCATCTCCCCCAGTGCCTGCTCCCCTCCTCCCCAGGGGGGCCCTCACCTGGAAGTGGAAGATGCCGGCATAGCCATTCTGGAAGCTCTGGCCATGTGGAACCACTCGGTGCAGGAGGGTGTCGTTAAGAGTAAGTGAGGCAATGGCCGCCAGGAGCCAGCAGTCCCCTGGGGAGGGAGGGAGCACATCAGCCTGCTCTACCAACCTGCCCGGGGGGGAAGCAGGTGCTAGGGAGAATCTGGGGTTCCTTGGCCAGGGTGCCACTTAACTCCCCTCAGCTTGCAGAAAAGACCCAGTAATCTGGGCAAACCAGCCCCAGCGCTGATAGCCAGAGCCTGCCTGGGCTTGCAAGAGGGAGGGGTTGGGGCAGAGCCTGAAGGAGCGGGAATGGGGAACTACTGTGGAAAAAACACCCCGGACCCCGCGCCCTGGGGGCCTACCCAGTGCTCCCTGGCAGATGTCTGTGCGGGTGGCTCCATCCACGATGAACTGGGGGTTTGAAAGCAGCTCCTGCGAGAGACCCAGAGTCCTGTTCCTGGGCCAGCCCCTCCCAGAAATTGGCACCAGGCCACCCCTGACCCCATTGCCCACCAGAGACATGAAGTCCCATCCCTACTCCTCATCCAGGATCTGGGCTCAGCCGAGTCCCACCCAGGATGGCCCCTCTCACCGTGGGACGCTTCCACTTGATGCCATAGGTCTTGGAGGAATTGGGACCCAGGTCCTTGAAACCCAGGCTCTGGGGCACTGGGGGGAAGGCCTCATCACGGAAGAGGGTCCCACTCTGCAGGCATCGCGCCCGCAGCTGCTCATAATCCTGGCCCAGGTACTTGATGGCATTCTCATGGCGGCCCAGGCCCAGCTCCTTGGCCCGCTGCTTCTGCACTTGGGCTGACACCCCGGTGCAGTACACCGGTGTGATGATCTCCTCCGCCATCCTGCCGGAAAGATGGGCCTGCTCAGAACGCAGGCCTTCCTAAGACTAGAATCTGGGCTCCTGCCTGCAAGCGCTGCTCTCCTGCCCCTGCTTATCCATCCCCAAACCTGGGGTTTCCCTGCCTCACTGCTCCCCTCACAGAAGTAGGGTTCTTAGCCACCTCTCGGTGCTCTCAGTGAATACAAGAAAGGGGTTTCCCAGTTCCTAGGCGTGCCGGCCACCTCTCCTTTCCCGGATCCCATTGTCAGGGGCTTGCAGCTCAGTGGTGAGCCAGCAGGTCAGGTGGGGCAGGGCGGAGCCTCCAGACAGCACAAGGAACTGGGCAGGTGGGACACAGCAGGGAAGGCCTCTTTGATCCTGTTCACTGGCCTGCAACCCCCTCCCCAAATTAACCAAGCTCCTTGCGCACCGGCTCCGTGCCGTGGGCTGAAAACCCCAGACAGTCGGGGTCCCCCTCCTCAGGCCCCCTCAGCAGGCTCGATATCAGAGCTGGTGGGCCCTAACCCAGTCCCTGGGAACATCCCGCAGCAGGCTCATATCAGAGCTGGTGGGCCCTAGCCCAGCCCCTGGGGACAGCTGTGAGCCAGGCTGGGACAGGCGCCCAGGCTGTGCCGCTCCTCCAGCCCCCGCCCCTGCCCCAGGCACGCAGAGGGCCCCCAGAAGGGGCCGAACTGGGGCAGCCCCTCAGCCCGGGAGCAGTGGCCAGGGTCAAAGAATCCTGGCTCGGCCACCCAGCTTCTTACCTGGGGGAGGGGTGTTTGGGGGTCGCTGCGGTCCCTGAGACTGGCTTCCCGGTGGCAGCTCAGGGCTGGGCCCAACCAGGAAGAGCGCTCCTCCCCGCCCTCCTCCCGCCGCCCCTCCGCCCTCCGCCCTCCCTTTCTCCTTCTCCTCCTCCTCCTCCTCCTGGGGCTCCTACCCCGCTTCCTCTCGGCTCTCCCTTATCTCTCCGGCACGGTCTCTGACTATCTCTTACCCACGGTGTCTCCCCGCCCCTCCCTCCGCAGGCCGGGGGCCAATTCCGCGAGAGGACAAATTAGTAAAAGGCAGAGCAGTCCCCGGGGAGGGGCCTGCGCGGGTGGGGCGGGGAGGCTCTGGGGCGCGGCGGAAGGGCACCGTGGGGAGAGGAGGGGGAGGGCCGGGCAGGGGGTATTTTTAACCAGGGGCAGCAGCTCGAGTTGCAGGGCCGGACGGCCGCACCCCACGCGCGCCCCGGCGGGCATTCCCGGGCGATCGGGCGGCGGCGCCGCCTCCCGCAGTCCCGGGCCCGCCCCGTCCCCAGCTCCCCTCGCTCCGCGCGGCCGCAGCTGCTCCCGCCGCTCCCAGTCCGCCCAGGCACGGGGCTGAGATTACCTCGGGCTGCGGCAGCTGCTCTGAAGAGGGACCGGGCTGGCAGCGAGCAGACCCCTGCCGGACACTCCGTAAACGGCAGCCTCTCCCCGCAGGGCCGCGCCGCTCCCCGCCCCCACCCCACCGCCGCGCCCCTGCTCGCCGCTCCCCAGGGGAACCCTGGGGGACCGGGCTCGCTGCGTGACCTTGGGTAAGTCCATGCCCCGCTTGGCCCGGCTTTCCGCATGCGTACAGCCTATGGGATGGGGATGGGCAATTGCGGGAGCCCATCTTTCTTTAACGTTCTGGGGTTTCTTGAACCTGGAAACTTCGAGAGGTGGACATCCCTGTCCTCTCCCCCAAGCTCTCAGCCCACCCACCTGGAAGCGCCCATGTATCACCTTACCCAGGAGAGGGCGGCAGAGGCCCAAGCAGGACGGCAGCCCCCACTCCCCACCTCCAGGACCCGGAGGTCCTGCTTCACGGGCTGCAAGAAGTTGGGGGGCCAGGATTCGGCGCGGAGGCCGGGGGTGTGGGTGGGGAGACTGCAGAGACCTCTGAGACCCTCCCAAGTCAGGGCTTTTCGCTGGTCTCGCAGTCCCAGCCCAGCAGCTGCTGCAGCCTTGCAGGTTGTGGATACAAGCATTTTGCTGAGGAAACTGCATAGCGTTCCCAGGACTCTAGGGCCCATGACCCCTCAAAAGTTAAGAGCCGCTGATCTAATCTGATGAGTGAGGGATGGAACCAGCTCCTAGGCTTTCTGCGCAGGTGTCCAGGGACAGAGAACGGTGGCTTAAACTAGAGAGGTGGCAGGCAGAAGTAGATGGATTTGATAAAAATGGAGACTATCTTAACAATATTGGGTTTAGAAAAGATTTCTTTTTTCTTTTCTAAAGGCAGGGTCTTGCTTTCATTGACCAGGCAGGAGTGCAGTCCCTGATCACAGCTCACTGTAACCTTAAACTCCTGGGCTCCAGAGATCTCTCACCTCAGCCACCTGAGTAGCTGAGACTACAGGCACGTGCCCCGACACCCAGCTAATTTTTAAGTTTTTTGTAGAAATGGGGTCCTGCTGTGTTACTCAGGCTGGTCATGAACTTCTGGGCTCAAGCAGTCCTCCTGCCTGAGCCTCGCAAAGTGCTGGGATTACAGGTGTGAACTTTGGCACCTGGCCAGATTTCTTAAATATGACATAAAAAGTATAAATGATAGAGGAAATCAATAAATTGAACTTCATCAAAATCCTTTTGTTCTTCAAAATGCACAAAACTATTAAAAATGAAAAGATAAGCCATAGACTAGGAAGAATATTTGTGAAAATTTTATCTGATATAGGACTTGTGTAAAGAACTTTTACAATTGAATAAAAATCCAATAAAAATGGACAAAACATTTGTTTTCTGGTGTTTGTGTTTGTTTTTGTTTTTGAGATGGAGTCTTCCTCAGTCACCCAGGGTGGAGTGAAGTGGCATGATCCTGGCTCACTGCAACCTCCGCCTCCCGAGTTCAAGCAATTCTCCTGCCTCAGCCTCCCCAGTAGCTGGGATAACAGGTGCCCGCCATCACGCCAGGCTAATTTTTGTATTTTTAGTAGAGATGGTGTTTCACCATGTTAGCCAAGCTGGTCTCAAACTTCCGACCTCAAGTGATCTGCCCACCTCTGCCTCCCAAGGTGCTGGGATTACAGGGTGAGCCACCGTGCCTGTCAAAATATGGACAAAACATTTGAATAGACACTTCATCCAAAAAGATCTCTGGATGGCAAATAAGCACATGAAAAAGCACTGAGTGCATTACTCTTAGGGAAATGTAAACTAAAGTCACTAGAAGGACTGCTTCTCAAAGAACACCTGCTAGAATTGCTAAAATTTAAGATTGACCAAATCAAGTGTTATCATGTTGTCAAGGATATAGAAGAACTGGAGCTCTCATACACCAAGAGAGGGTAAAATGATCACCACCACTTTGGAAGAATTGCTTGAACCCGGGAGACAGAGGTGGAGGTTGCGTTGAGTGGAGATTGCACCACTGCACTCCAGCCTGGGCAACAAGAGCGAAACTCCATCTCAAAAAAAACAAAAAACAAAAAAACACAGCCAGAAGCTAAAGGAGAAACTTTTTATATCATCTCATTGTGGAAACGGTCTTTTTAACTATGACACAAAACCCAAAAGTCATAAAATTGCATTTTTTACTACATTAAAAATCCATAGTTATGTCAAAATGATGGACTGAAGAAAACATTTACAATTAACATCTTACAGGAGTATTTTTCTCCATATATATTTTTTAAAAAATCATGGTCTGGGTGTGGTCGCTCAATCCTATTATCCTAACACTTTGGGAGGCCTAGACAGGAGAATTAATTGAGGCTAGGAATTTGAGACTAGCCTGGGCAACATAATGAGACAACATAATGAGACCCCATCTATAAAAAAGTTAGAAAATTAGCCAGGTGTGGTGGTGCATGCCTGTCATCCCAGCTACTCCAGAGGCTGAGATGGGAGGATGGCTTGAGGAGTTGGAGGCTATAGTGAGCTATGATTGTGTCACTTCTCCAGCCTGGGCAATAGAGCAAGACCCTGTCTTTAAGAATAAAGGCCGAGGTGGGCAGATCACCTGAGGTCAGGAGTTCAAGACCAGCCTGGCCAACATGGTGAAACCCCATCTCTGCTAAAAATACAAAATATTAGCCGGGCACGGTGGCATGTGCCTGTGCTTGTAATCCCAGCTACTCGGGAGGCTGAGGCAGGAGAATAGCTTGAACCCAGGAGGCGGAGGTTGCAGTGAGCTGAGATTGTGCCATTGCACTCCAGCCTGGGCAACAGAGCAAGACTCCATCTGGAGGGAAAAAAAAAGTCTCACACCATAGGATTACCAGAATCCTAGAAACAACTTAAATGTTGATCAGTAAGCAATTAGTTACTTTATGGTATATCCATAAACAAGAACACAAGGCCGGGAGTGGTGCCTCATAACTATAATCCCAGCACTTTCGGAGGCCAAAGTCGGGGGATCCCTTCAGCTCAGGAGTTCAAGACCAGTCAGGGCAACATGGCAAAACCCCCTTTCTACAAAATATACAAAATTTAGCAGGGCATGGTGGTGCACATCTGTAAAAATAAAAAAAAAAAAGATGCCAGCGCAGTGGCTCCACCATACTGTAATCCCAGCACACTGGGGAGTCGAGGGCGGGCGGAACATGAAGGTCTGGAGTCCGAGACCATCCGGCCAACATGGGGAAACACTGACTCTACTAAAATAACAAAAAATGAGCCAGGCGTGGTGGTGCGTGCCTGTAATCCCAGCTACTCGGGAGGCTGAGGGCAGGGAGAATCACTTGAACCGCGGGAGGCAGAGGTGTTTGCAGTGGAGCCGAGATTGCACCACTGCACCCCAGCCTGGCGACAGAGCAAGACTCCGTCTCAAAAAAAAAAAAAGATTAGGCGCGGCGGCGCGGTGGCCTCAAGCCTGTAATCCCAGCACTTTGGGAGGGCCGAGACGGGTGGATCACGAGGGTCAAGGAGATCGAGACCGATCCTGGCAACCAGGTGAAACCGCGTCTCTACTAAAAAAATAGCAAAAACTAGCCGGGCGATGTGGGGCGGACGCCGCTGTAGTCCCAGCTACTCGGGAGGCTGAGGCAGGAGAATGCGTGAACCCGGAGGCGGAGCTTGCAGTGAGCTGAGATCGGCCACTGCACTCCAGCCTGGGCGACAAGAGCGAGACTCTGTCTCAAAAAAAAAAAAAAAAAAAAAAAAAGGATTAATACAACACAGCTGTAGCAAGAAATGTATGAATAAAAGACCATCTTCACCATCCTGGCCAACATGGTGAAATCCCGTTCTGTACTAAAGTAACTAAAATACAAAAA